GGCTACCTCGCGCTTGTTGAAAGGGCGAACCCTCACGGCCACCTGCGGGATAGCGAATCGGCGACGTTCATCTCGTGCGTGCCAAGAATAGCCGAATGCGAAAAATTCGGAACCATAGGCGATCGCTGCCGCTCCGAGACTCTGTCGTTAGACAGCTCGATTCCACAATGAGCGACCGGCGGCGGCGCTCGAGGAAAATGAACTCGATATCCTCATCGAATTCGAGCTTCGATGTCGGAAAAGAGTTCCTGGGAACAGCTGTTCTCCCGAATTTTTCCTCCTACGCTCTCAAGCAGCGCGAGTCGAGCGCTTTTGGACAAGGACTCGGAGTCTGCGTCTCAGGTTTCTCGCTGAGTCAATTGTACGAGACTCACCTTCACCGAAGACATGGCGTATGCTGTTTTTCGCTGCGCCAAGAGACGATTCCCTGGAAAGGAATACGGCGGGAATATTAGCTGGAATATTGTGAATATTTATAAGACCGCAAGGATTTCTCGAAGATTAGTATGACGCTGAAACTGATATCTAGAGCTCCCTGGCATCAAGGTCGCGGTCGGCGTCACGCGAGGAGACAGTGAGAGGAATTCTGAAGCTTCGGATACCCCTACCGGCTCATAAGCATTGTACTAGACTCGGAAGAACCCGGACTACGATCTCTGTCTCTCTCTCTTCCGAGAGAGAGAGAGAGTCAGCTCATGCCACCGAATGACAGCTGACACCGGTTTCGTCGACACTGGGCACGAGTTCGGAGTTGTGTCTGGGATGATCAGGAGCGGGGAGCCCATCACGGACTTCACCCTCCCGATTTCGAGAGGGACTGACCCGAAAGCCACAACCCGAGAGCGTTTGGGACCTCCGAGACCCGTGGTTAGCACGAGCATAGGCCACGCTAGGGCTTCCCAGCCAAGAGGATGATCCCGGCTATTCAAACGGAGGCAGCCCTGAGTGTCGATGCGATTTCTGTCGGAGTCCTCTGTTGCCTTGCGATTTGTCGGATCCGAAAAGCAAGAACGTTTATACCGTTTATACCGTACGACGCTCGCTTGAGCTGTCGACGATCGTATGTAAGGGAGACCGAGTGATAGCCTCCTCTTCCGCCTCTTGGAAAAGATCGTATTCAGTTGCCCGCCATGAATCATGCTCGGAGGGAGTAGCGAAGCGTATCGTCGCATACAGAGTCTGTCCGTCCTGCGGTTCGCTCCTCACACCTGAGCCCGACCCCACTCTCGTGAACCCTATGCGGCTCCCTACAAGCCGGTCGTTCATAGCTCCGAAGGAACATATGGAGCGCGAGCCGGAACGACCTCTGCTACACCGGCTCCTCGTTCAGTCGTCGTTGAAACCTCACTGGGGACTGCGCCAGGACAATGCCGATGTAGCCGATCGGCTGACGAATATTTTCAATTCAAGGAGCGTGAATTCGGGAGCACTATCTGATCGGCGGAGCGATTGGCGCGACTTGCTCGATTGCGGAGAGCCCAACAAAATAAAGTTTCACATGAAAGTGCTCTGCGCTCCCGGATCGGGTCCGCCCACACATGGAGAGACCACGATTACTATCCTCTACGACGTCATTGACGATAAAGTGGGGTAATAACCAGGAGAAGAAAGGCGAGGGCATTCGCTTCCCTAAATGATACGGAGGATCTCATCTCGGAAACGACGGGGGTCGGTATTCGAGAGACGTATCAACATCGGACCAGATCTCTGTTTCTCGATCAAGACGGATTTTTGATCATCCCATCCTCTTCTGATGCATGGCTCGAACTCTGTCCCTCTCTGGCACTCTTCGCAAGTTCTGAGTCTCCGTGCTGGAGTGTCGCGGTCCGGCTCACAAAAAGGAGCTGATCAGATCAGGGAGACGCCGCGAAATACTTCGGGAACGAAGGCTTCTGTTTCTAATGAAGTTTCGAACGCTTTGTCATGTTATCTCGGGGGAGAGCATGAGGACGGGTTCGGTCGGCTGAGATCTTCCGTCCAGCCTCAGCGGGGAGAAAATTATTCTGGTGGCGAGCCGGCTGGGCGCGTAGACATCGGAGTTCGAAGGAACTGATACAGACGAATGTCTACGATTGGTACGAGACACCTAGAGGGCGATTGTGAAGGCATGACACACTCGATAGCTGAAAGAAGGGAGTCCAAGGCAGTGTACTAACCTCGTAGAGCTAGGGTCGGACCTGGCTAGGTTTTGGGAGTATGTGTCACGCCTATAGCCTACGACTGAGACCTTAGTCGCAACGAGCTGCTAGCAACCGGACCTTCATCGCTCCATGAAGCTAATGCTATCTCCTCCTTGAGCCATCAGGCACCCTTCTTATTGGAAGGAGCGCGAGGGCGCCGCGGAGAGTGTACTGCACCCCCCAGGAACGAGCGCGCAAACTTTGAAAAATTTCTCCCTCCCATCGTCTGACCTGCGTCACGGATGCTCCTGGATTCGACATGACAGCTCGACATTGATCAAAATCCCCGAATTTCTGGAACTCCATAGCGAAAAAAGATTCCTCCGATAGCACACCCGAGAGATAGGAGGGAGAGCGTCCAGAGGATCGGACGTATACGGGGTTCAGCGCATCCTAGGTTCTCATGCAGCAGGATCTTCTGACATGACGTTCCCCATGGGTGCATTTGAGTAGCTCCGCGGTGACGGAAGTGGATCGGGTGAGCACGAACAGCGTATAGCCGCCTATGAGGATTTCACGCAGCCCATTGGGAGGGGGGGGGGCGAATTCGGGGCTTGTAGTTGGATGCCGCCTCGTCGTGACAGGACAACTCCGTCGTCTGAAGCATCATCGGAGACTTGAAGCTTCAGACGGCAAGAGCTGGACAGCAACCGCACCTCTGGCGGGGGCGGAACCGAACGTTTCGAGCATCATCCTGAGGAGATCCATTACGGAAACTCTTGCGGGCGGAGTGCGAGACAAGCTAAAAAATCGTTCAAACCCCCCGTCGGCCATCCTTCACACGAGCTTGCGGGAGTTCTTGGCCTGGCAAGGACCCCAAAAACCATGGGCAGCCAGTTGCATTCCCGCCAATCCAAAATCGTTCCCCATTCGTCGTTTTTCTCGCTTGTGAAGCGACTCTCAAGATCGGTTGTTCCCGCTTAGAATACACTGATTATCGCCCAGAATGGAATGAAGCATTAGATTAGGACCCTTCGCTTGCTATCTCTCGCGTCATCCAATGTTTACGTACTCTCAGAGATCCGAGTCAGCTAATTCCTACGTGTTTACGTGGCTCCGTCTTCTTTTTTGCTGACTGCTTCCAGAGGAGAGCTTTCACCGTGGGGCGATTCTCTGCATGGAGCTGGCTCCTGGATTTCTGGGTATTGATATCGAATGTCGGAGGGTTCCCGACGCAGATCTCTCGCTTGTCTTCTCCGCTGCCGCTCTCGACAAAAATTCAACGCCGGAAATCGAACCGGGGTGGAACTGTCGGTTTGCTCGGGGCTCGGGATCTGATCCTGATAGAGCATCCTGAGCCTCCCGCGCGAAATCGGTTCATTTGAGGGAGACGTTGGCTGCCAGTCAGTGGCTCGATGGGGCGAGAAGGCGCCCGGGGCAGATCTCGAGAATGGTCCGCCCCCCTCGCTTACGCCACTCCGTTCGCTAGGAGTTCCGGGAGAATCTTCGATGTCCATCGATGAGTCTCAAAGTCAAGCTCTTAAGAAGTAACGGGCCACCTTGCTGCTCCATTTCGCTCCATTTCTTTTCCGGGCTTGAATGTCCTGCCATTTTTCTCGGTACATGTCAACTCGATGCCGGACAACTCGATGCCGACAATTCGATGCCGACAAGTCGATGCCGGACAACTCGATGCCGGGACAACTCGATGCCGGGACAGCTCGATGCCAGACGAATCGATGCCGGACAACTCGATGCCGGACAACTCGATGCCGGGACAACTTGATGCCGGGGCAACTCGATGCCGAGACTAGTCGATGCCGGACGAATCGATGCCTGATCGGGACACCGACAGATAGTCGTTTTGGAATAACACCGCCTCAAGAAACTTCTGCAAAGTCACAGTTAAGCACGATTTTCCGTGATTTTCTTCAGAAGCAAATCAATCAGAATCTATTCGACCTATCGATCAGCTTATCCTTTCACAGACACGCGGTACAGTGCAGCCAATCACGGGAGAAATCTGGTCATTCTAAGGATCTGTGGAGGAGTCCGCATACTAGCTAAAAGTTCAGAGCGTGGAGTGCACATCTAGAGATGTGGGACTGCCGCGTCGAGAAGTTCCCTTGTTCGTGGATGAGCGAGAGTAGCGGTAAAGCCGAGTTGCGTTCGATTTTCGAATTGAAAATTTCCCTGGGTCGGACGGGGCCAAAGTGTTTAAGTCTCAGTGTGCAACATTGGTCGCGAAATGAGTTTCTAGGTGAAATTCTTATGTAAGCGATCGACGGGCTCAAGTGCAGCTCTGCCTAGTTTCCCGGCATCGAGTTGTCCGGCATCGAGTTGTCCGGCGTCGATTCGTCCGGCAGCGAGTTGTCCCGGCATCGCGTTGTCCCGGCATCGAGACGTCCGGCATCGAGTCGTCCCGGCATCGAGTTGTCCCGGCATCGAGTTGTCGGCATCGAGGTGTCGGCATCGAGTTGTCCGGCATCGAGTTGACCGTGTCCGCATTTTTCTCCGTCAGCTCGTGAGGACCGGTGTGATGATTTTGTACCTGGTGCTAATACTGAACTTCTCGAGCGACAGACGAGTCCAATTGTTGTTTGAGGAAGCCAAGACAATCGCGTGCGTTCAGACGTTCTCAACTTTAATAGCTATAATCACATCGCACAATAAATTATTATCCAATTAAAATTCAACGATTCCGCCCAAGCCTTGCTGGATGTCTATCACTGAGCGTTTGTCTCCGAGAGATTCTTCGAGAGGCCTAGTATACATATCCCGAACCAAAAACAATCAGATCTGTCCGCAACAACAGGGGCTTTCGGACAACAGGGGCTTTCGGACAACAGGGGCTTTCCCCGATAATCGGGTAGAGTTGCCTCAAGCTTTGTGCTCGTGCGTCGTTTGATCCCAATATTTCCGTGTCTGCATCTGGTTCAACCTAGATACCGTTCTGTCGAACGCGAAAAGCTCCTCCTCGCCGCTGAAGATCGTTCCCAACTCCTGCGGATTATCGATGCCCAAGTCGGACATGAGCATCCTGTTTTCGTCCGTGACGAGACTCTCGTCACGCACAGTGGTGAACAGCGAGGCAGGCGGAGCATCCGCTGAGCAGACAACGCGCACCCTGTCGAGAAGGTCGTAGAAAAAATCAAGGAAAGTTTTGATCCGAGAAGTTTTCTGAATTAGGAGATGGAAGTAGATAAGAAAATTATGAACGTGGAGACGGTCGCAGTAGCCGAGACAATATTGAGGAGAGAGAGGAGAAGCCCCCCATCTGGGATTCCAATCTCGGACCGCTGGAATGTGAACGTATGGCGGAACAAAAAAAACTTACCGATGATCGTAGAGAGTGTCGATCAGAGTGATGAACCGTCTGGCTGGACTCTTTTGCTTCACCGTCAACTGAGGGATGTCCCTTATGAATATCGTGTGGAAAACCTGGAAGCGGAAGGATCATTCTGGATTGACAGAGAGCTCGTGCGGGCTCGGAAACCATCGGAAAGCAAATGCAGTCACACGGATAAATTCGGATCATTAGCCTCACTTGACTCAGGAAGACGTAGTCCACCGCTCCCAGAGGTCTGTCGCACAGTTCATCGAAGGTGGTATCCAAAACTTGTCCACAACACTTTCTGTAAACACACTCGGTTGCAATCGATGCTCGTGGGGAGATCTGAGCGTGACCACGCAATCAGATGAACTACAAGCTTCGACCCGGTCCCAACTCACTTGAATTCCACGTTCCGGCCCTTGATGACCAGGGTACGCGATCGAATCGTGTCTGTTTCGTGGGAGCAAACGATTTTGAAAAGGCGATCCATCTCAGCGCTCACGTTCCCCTCGCCTTTCCTGAGAAAAAAAAAGTAAATCACTCACGATAGAATTTCGAAGACGCGGTATCGAGGATGTCCCGCTGTGTGAGTTCTTCACATTTGGATCAATGTCCTCGGAGCTTACACGAAGTAGAAGGGCGTATCGGAATTCGCGTTTAGCTGCGAGCGGTAATCGACTCCAGAATCGAGAGCAAGAGCCTCGCAGTTCCTCTTCAAAATATCAATGAAAGGCAGGAAATTGGATCTCTGCAGGCCGTTTTTGTAGAGATCTGGGGAAGCGAACCGGTCAGCAATATCGGACCTTCATCTCTCAGGACCGAGAGCGGGACAGGGAATTATTTGTAATCTTCTCGGAAGGGATTCGACAGATTTTCTGCCGTTGGACGATCTCCCGGGAGTTGGAGAATATTCATTTACCGTTCGGAGGTCTGTTGCTGGTTGCGACGAGAACGCTTCCGTTCCGAAATATGTGGTCGAAGAGTCGCTTAAGGATCATGGCATCCGCTATGTCGGTCACCTACGGATCAAAGCGAATCAGGAATTCCGCCCGAGGAAGAAAACCGGAGAATTATGCTTCCCCGCTAATTCGTACTTGGAACTCATCCAGGCAGAGTACGGTGTTCTTCTCGGAAATTTGTGCAGCCACCGCCGGTATCGGGTCATAAGAAGAGCTCTTCCTCTCGACATTGGACGTCTGGGGAAAGAATGCAGGCTCATTCAGTGAAACTCAGGCTGGGTCTATGTAGATGTGCGTCGGCAACGGTATCCCATGGCTGCAGGTGCATAAGAGAATCTCGAGAGCTGCTCACCTTCTTCCACTCATGGATCCTATTGTGCACGTCGAGCATGAAAGAATGGAAGTGCTGTCGTTGTTTCTTCTGAGGTCGCTCCACACAATCGTAGAACATATCCATCAGCATGGTTTTACCTGCGGATAAGCATCGACCGATCAAAGCTCCGAGGCTAATGGCACTCTCAAGGAGCGAATTCACAAGGTTTGCGCCCGCAGGGTCTCGAGGAAGCAAAGCGAAGGAATCCTTGGAACCTACCTCTTCCGACGGCGCCATAGATGTATACTCCCCTCGGGACTTGAACCTCGGTCTTGAAAAACCTCGTCAATAATGTTGGGCTCCGCTTCTCGTAGGACCTGAAGATTGATTCAATGCCCCCAATTAGATTTCGCGAGTTGGAAAAGACATAGAGGAGACGTCCGGGTAGTACGCGGGGATCCCGGGAATCACCAATCGGAACTTGGGAGTGGACTCTCCTCAAGATTATATTCGCCTCACCATAGTTCCGATTGCAGGTTCTGGAGTACTTGAGCGATTCTCAGTTGGTTGGGATCGTCTTGAATTTTGCCTTTCTTCACATTATCACAGTAAGTTGCCAGGAGATCTGGAAGGGATTCGGGTCCGATCATGAGGACGATCGTTTCGTGCTCGATAGGTGTGTTCTGTTTAGTCGTGATTCGTCTTTGCTGATGATGCAGGAGCATTGACGCGAAAAAAACTCCCCGCGTATCGGGATACCGACTCCTTTGGAGATTTCAGCTCTCTCCTACGGGCTTCATAAATCGATCGGGATGCCTGGATTCCTCCTAATCTTGAGGAGCCCAGGTATCGAATCTGGAGTCTGAAACTGTCGTGACATTTACTGTCAGCGGTAATCGAACTCGGAGGATTCCCGAGAAGGTAGGGAAGATACGCCGAAGACTTTCCGTCGAAAGTCGGGTTCTGAGAAAATCGAATCCAAGACCATCTCCCTCGAAAATCGTCTGCCACCGGAATCACATGAGGATCCCTAGATCAGGGAGATTTCCAGGCCCGATTATCAGTCAATCTCTAATCTCCTTATCATTCCACAGACGTCTCGCCAGCCGACTTCCGGTGGATCTTTCAGGTCATCTCCTTGCTCTGTCTGCTAGCTAGACACACGGGAGAGTATGTTTTTCGGCTCGCGCAGCGAGAGACCTGTGCAACGGCGAAGCTATATATCTCTCGCTCGGCGGCTGTGAGAAGAGCCGAATGCTCAGTTCAAGGCTAGCTTCTCCTTGACGGACCTTCAACATACGCAGCTTCTCCATTTTCAGCTCCGGTGACTTTTGAAACCTCCTCTGCCATCAGACGAGAGAACCCTGCTCGATTATACTGAGCAGCTGAAATTCGTGAGGTGTTAGGTGTCGAGATACTCACTTATTCGCGCGTCTTTTGGGAGATTCCTCTGACTGCTGCAGAACCGAACGAACACATGGAAATCTCGCATGTCTTCACACAATGGACGACAGACAGGGTTCCCGACTTTCCACCGAGTATGATGATCGTATTCACAATGTGGATGCTCAATTATCACGGAGATGTCAGGTGTCCTATCCGGAGAGGAGCTGACATTCGAAATAACAAGACCAACAGTAGACAGACCTCAGGAAACTCCGGAAGTGCTGGATATGGCGGAGGGCCTCTCCTTCCGTAAATGAGAAACCTCTGCTAAGCGAACCATTCCGCTGAATTCATCACGGGGCGTTGGGAATCCCCTCCGGGTGGAAGAGAGGAAAAAGCCGGACTCTGTGGAATCTATCACCGCGGATGAGTTGATGATGACAATGATCTCGAGAGACTTTTTCGAGTCAAATCGGGCGGTCGATTGAGCTTCCTTCGAAAACCGACGTCTGGATCTACGCGAACCTAAGGGAACGGTCGACTTCTAAAGCCTCCCGTTGTAGTGGGAAATTTCGCTGGCTTCGAAGCTTCGGCTCGGTAACCCGGATCGCCAGAATTATCCTCCCGCAACTGAAGCCTCACCATCATGGATCATGAGGCTGAAATAACAGACTTCGAATATGAGTCCGGCAAGCGTATCGGCAGAAGATGAGGATTCTTATTAGGGACCGCCGCTCAGTCTAATGAGGCGAGGCCGGAATTCTTGGAGAGCCTTGGACGCACCGAATCTCCGACGAAAGACTCGGTGCACCAAATACCCGAGGCAGACAGTACCGTTCGGCCACCGCGCCGTGCCTCATAGCGACGGGCTCCGCACTGGAGGAGCTCCAGTCCCGGCTCGAGCGTCGAAAATCCTGGAGTCCTGAGCTGCGAGAGGCCAGACCGGAGGATAGCTGTGGCTTCCCCTGTTCGTCGGAACAAGGAATCCGGATGGGGTCTGGAGGGAAGACGACGGGGGCTTGAGACTGGAGTCTATCTCATTCTCATCTGTCCATTCCGATTCGCGTAAGTGTCAAATATTTCGGAAATTCACCCCCTTGTGCCAGGTAAAGTCCGAGACTTAACTCTGCGGCGATTTTGGAATCCTCCATCGAGACCTACTGCTTCAGGAGCTTCACAGATCCAGCACAAGCGTTGAGCCAGCCAGCAGAGCTACCCCTACTGACCCTAGCGAGCAACCGCGGCATCAGCTGCGCTCTGACGCTGCGCCAGAGGTCGCTCGGATATGTTCAAATGTCACCGAAAAGATCCGCGAGCCATAAACACGATGACCTGAGTCTGGTCATTCTTGATTTCCGACGTTTTCCGGACTCGGCTTCTGGGTATAATAATTCCTCACTCCTACACTCGCCGGACTCGCGGAGGTCAAAGCCCTGGCTATCCAGCTGCAGTTGTGGCGACGCTCACCTCTAGGGAGTTCGCCGCTCGCACTTAAATCGTGGACGAGGTCTCCCGAAGAGTCTCATATCGAGGATGATAGCTCCTGGACATTGACAATTGAAAGACTTCGAGTACGAATGTCATGTGCAGCGCTTCCATTCACATGTCATCTCCAAAAACCTGGACGGGGAGCGAGGGTTATTCACATAGGCTTCCTGAAACATCGCCCCCATTGATTTATGAACCCACAAGCCGCGGGCCGATGAGGAATGCGAGCGACAGGCAGCGGCACATTTCGCCGGAGAAGCGAGCCTGATACGACGCAGCGTTTGAGATGGAGGTGAAGTAGCAATGAGAATCCCGAACGTGCTTCGAATGGACGAGCATTTTCTCTCTAGAATCACATATGAGCCTCGGATACGGATAACCTACCTCGGACCTCCTCCCGGAAGTTTTAGGGCGACTGTCAAGGACATGTAGATGCAGTGAATCACATTGACATGATTGCCAAAAGAGCAAGGAGCTCGGGGGTGCTGACTCTTCTTGTCGAATTCGAAGAAGCATGTTAGATGTCTCACTCTGTGCGTCCTCGACGATAATCCTCAAACCCATTTAGCTCCAATCTGCTTCCTGTTTAGTCGCCTGCGCGCTTGAGACTTTTGTACTCGGCTGTTACTAATCTAGAGAATGGGGTTTAACATCGGCAGCTGTTTCATCCCCGAGCGGAGGCTTCGAGGCACCCTCTCACTTAGTTCCGTCATTACATCCCTTCCTCGTGCTTCTTGCGGGCTGAACGAAACCCTGGACAGACCATATTTATGAAACGGAATGGCACGTCCTCGACAAAGTTTCGATACAGTATTCCGAGTATTCGTTCGAGAAAATCGCTGAAACCGTTGTTCGAATCCTCGATGTAGCTTCGACCCATCGATGAAGGATTGAGCCCCCCTCCCTCGGAGACCCAAAGAAGCCGCTCAACTCAGCGTTTCCTTGCTCATTGCTGACTTCACATGCTTTCTCATATCCCTCCGAACCTTCTCTCGGTGCATGTTGTCGAAGACTTGGGAAAGTACGCAATACATCCACACAGAGATCCCGCCGCCTTCCGAGCCGAACCGACATTTTCTCTTCTTCCGAGTGACTGAGTGAATTCATTACAATCGTACACCGAATCTGCGAATCGGAGCTCGTTAATCATTATACATTTACGTAGAATGCCCAGGATTCGGAAGCCACTGATGTTCCGAACTTGAGTCCGATTGAGCTCACCGATTTTCCGATTGAACTCTTTTGCGACGCAACGGCGAGAGTCCTAATTTCGGGTGAGATTGTCCTTCAAGCATCACGACAGTCACCGATCCGGTTCGTTTATTCTTTCGGAGTTAAAAAGATTGAGGTTGGCCCTCTGATACCGATAAACTCAATGATTCCACCTGTCCGACCCAGAATTCATCAAAAAAACTTTCGGATCTGCTCGATGCTTTCTTACTCCAGCAGGAACACTGCTCGCGAATTCCCTTGGGTAGAGCCGGTCAGAGCGACGGCGAATACTGGTGCGTTGTTGGTGACGGAAATGTTTGATTCCGACCGACGTCGTCGCTGGAGGACCTTTCAGGCGATTGGCGCTTGGTCAATCGCCCCTCTCACTTGAGCGACCGGATGTTCCCACAGGGGTCGGACCTGATTTTCGACATGAGAAACATGCGAAGACCAGCAAACAAACGAGCGTCAGTGCTGACGATTCTTCCTGAGGGACTCGTTTGGAAGACGAAACTCACACTGTGCTCTCTCTCTCGGGTAATCCTATGGTTTCGAGCATCGACCGCTGAACAGGATGCCGGGTGGGGCTTTAACCATCGTTTGCATCGTGGCGTTTTTTTGTGGCCTCGCTTCTCCAGAGGAAACGCAATGCAACTCCAGGTAAATCGATACGTTTATTATGCATTGGAGGTCTGCGAATGATTTGGGTCGTCGTGAAAACTTATCACACGCATCCAAGCGAACTTGGCTTAAGATAGAGAGGGGTCTCGTAAGTCTCTCTTCGAGATCAAGATAACTGATCCATGCATATCTGAGCCCAACCCTATATTCTACTTCTCATTGAACCCAAAGAGAGGGTCACGTCCTCTGCGCTTGCGACAAAGGCCGGGATATAACATTGCTGAGTATACCTCCACACGCCGTCTCATTGACGATCTCTAATTGCCGAAAGGTGAGACTTTTGATCATGTTCCCGACGTTGATTCAGACACTCTACTCGAGCCAGTCCTTCGAATGATGTGGAAGTTCGTGAATTCACTCATGAGGCTATTTGATTATTTCCCACGCATCATCGATCAGGTTTCCTTCGCCACGGTTCCCCTCAGAAATTCGTCATTGGATAGACTTAGAATCGAGAAGTGCTCCACTGTACTGATCGAGATTTCGCTGTTTGTTGGTGAGTCGTAGGTCCGAGATATGCTGCCGATCCCGCCATTCGATTGTTCAGCGCGCTTCAATCTGAATAGAATGAATCCTGCTCACCTGAGACACAACGCAGACAGCGGTGGGAAGGGAAAAGTCCCACCAGAGCGACATCGGGCAATGATCGAGAAAGTCCTCAATGAGCTTCTTCTGAGGAACGATGGCTTATTTCAGACGCGAACAAAATTGCTCGAGTTGAATTTGTCGACTTGGAGGACCTCATCATCAAGTCACTGCATTTTTTGAAAGCGGAAGAAGTAGTCCTGCAAAATGTGACGATCAAGACTCTTGGGAATCTCGCCATAGCGGGTCTGTAGCTCTGTCGGGTTAACTCCCCGTGGACTAAACAGTATCCTATTTTTCCCATACATCGAGATATTTTTCCTCGATCAGCCTCCCTGCCGGACTCACACTCGCTCTCCACAATGTCCCATGAATTCACTGTCCCGCGTTGAGTGTCGCGGTCATGCCTCACAACCGAACTCTCGTCTCGGGGCTTCCCAGCGAGGAACGAAGGGATCATGTAGATCCATAATGCAGAGATCCCTTGTGATGAAGGTCCGACACTTCAGATACTCCGCGGTTTCGACTCCGGTTCCAGGAACGCGAATTTGTCGTGGTCGAGAGCGAGCGAAGCTGATCGCTAGGATTCTTAGTCGGTTTGTCGTTGTATTCTAAACGTCTCTCTGTATCTGAAGGGCCCATTTCACTCAAAGAGCTCCTGATTACGAACTCGAGGATCGGGAGAGTCGAGTCTGGATCTCTCATTTTCAAGAAGAGTACCTCGCTCCGAATCATCGGATGCGCAATCGGTATGGACTCGGAGGAACCACAAAAGAATGACTTCGAGGAGATCCTGCAGACGCTTTTCATTTTGTGCAGAAGAATCTCAGGTCCTTCTCGTCGACCATTTAACAGGTGAAATTGAAAAACTAGGCCTGACCGTTGAAGATTCTGAGGAATTTACTCTCCGAAATTCCGAATGTGAGTGAAAAGAGATCCCGTGGGTTTGTACGGACATTCTTCACGCCCCCGCGGATGTACTCCATGACTATCTTCTTATTTCCATGATGCAGTCACTTTAGGAGAAAATGCTCTAAATCTCATCAATGTGAGCAAGGTAAATCCGAAGGGATCATATTCGACCCTTGACCTATCCCGATTCCTTATCTGAGTCTGTCCCTCGTCTTCTCAGGTCGAGGTCGACCGGAATGATATCCGCAGCACGACCATAGCGAGTTTCCTCGCGTCGACGATCAAAACGCTCTCGGTGACGAACAACAGGCTCAGGCTCGTGGGAGCGGAGGTGAGCTTTCATTAGAGTGTCGATATCTGTCGAAGTCTTTCCGAAGTCTGAACCGCACTGCTAACCATTTTCCAGACTTTCTATCACATGGGGGACATCAGCGAAATCCATCTCGACCACAACACATTCGGCAGAATTGCGGAGAAGGGATTGGACTTCCATTCAAAGGTCGGCATTCCTCCGAATTTTTCTGTGCATTCACATAACCTCACGCTCTTACCCGTGCGCGCTCGCGTTCTAGAGTGAAATTCCTTAGAAATCGAGCTCCCAACCTCCTCCTCTCAGTGGCCGATAGGGGAAAACGGAGAGCCCGTGTAATATTCGCTCAACATCTTCACGGAACAGATTGATAAACATTAAATGACTGTTACAGGCTGGTATGAGATCGTTCAGTGTTCTGAACAACAGATTCAGCTGCGATTGCTATCATAACTGGCTTTGGCGGTACGGAGCCGACGATTCCGGGTCGGCTTCCCAATATGAGAGCTTCCTCCACTCGTCCAAGTGCGATGCTCCCTCCTACTTCGCAGGTGAAACCTCGTGAGATATAGAACTGATATGAATGAAACTCCCCGCTCCGAGAATCATTGATCAGTAGAGTTGCTACATGGGAGGCCAGGCTCTTTCTTGTCCGCTTCCTCAAGGGTCTCTAGAACATGTCCGCTTCCAGGAATTTCCGAGCAAATACCTTTTCAGTTCGACAAAAAAAATTGAATTTCTGCGCTATTCGACTGCACGAGCATGGGCCAGGGGTTGCGTCGGGAATTTGCTCCTCAGCGGATTGTCTCTGAACGATCGATTATGGACTTCGAAGTTCACCCGAGTGTTGCTCATTGGGAAAATAGGTGGAGACTTGGATTGATTCCATGGAAAGGGCAGAAAACATGGAGAAGAGATTCCGCTTTCGGTGTCCGCTTTTCGTCCCGATGTCCGCGCGGGCATTGTCCTTATTTCGGGAAAGAGATGTCCTCCCATGGAGCAACTCTATTCATCAGGGAACCGAATCCACCTAGATTTCCTACATGGCCGGCTCGAACACTCAGTTTTCTTGTTTCCCTTCGTCGCAGGTCTAAGGCTGTCCGAGGTCGTACCTCTAATCGTCAGGGACAAATGTATTCGCATAGAGCCGATACACAAGGGCGAGTGCTGCGGTATCGGCGGCGAGTCTCCCGTGGTCTTCGTGTCTTCGGGAGCGTCTGGAGGATTCTTGCGCACGGTGCTCATGGCGTTCTTACCTGTTCTCGTGAGCCTTATCTCGTGAAAACATTAGGAAAGACGACGAGCGCGGAAGGCGTATCGCGAGTGTCGAAACATACCCCCGCCGTGAAGGAAAGAAGAAAAACATCATCATCTAATTTTTCAAAAATAAATAGCAGGTTTATTTTGTTTGCATATTATTTACATCGTTTGATTGTACAATGTCCGATTGGCGAAGACGGACAGCTTTGAACTTATTTTAGGGATATTTACATACACTTCAACTGCGTTCTTTTCTTATATTACTTTAGAGAATGTGTTGCGACGTATATTTCACTTGGTCTGTTTGTGTGATTTCCTCGGTCATCTGCGTCCCGGGTCGTCCTTTCATTCGTTCACGCATCCATCCATCCATTGGTCTATCTATCCGATTTCAGTTTTCTTTGGGGAGATAGCTTTTTTACTCTTGGCGCCTTCCATTCGAGCCAGCATCCTTTCAGCCGATCGGTGTTCGAATCATAGGCTGATTTTAGATGACCATTATCTGGAAGCTGACTCTATCTTTCCGACGGTCTACGTTCGAGGCTCCTGCGAGGCCGCACGATATCCTGAGTTCGGTCTTGAACGGCAAATCGGTGAATTTCAACATGGCCAGAAGCGGGGACGCGTTCCGCCCTCGCGGGAAGAAGCGCAACGGGAAGCCTCGGAAGGGCGAATAACCGATCCGAACGTGTCGATTTTCGCACAAGCACTCCAATTCCAGAATTCCTTCTTTGGTAGCGACAGGAATGAAGTTCGGGTTCGGTCGGAAAACTACCGCGATGCACGGATCGCCGGACCGATATCCAAAATTGTCGGCGGCAGAACATTCTTCAGAGACTAGTTGAGTAGGAAACGCGGCGTCGGTTTGGGTCGCGTTGTAGGCGGACACGACTGTCAGAAGATCGGATAGTTGTTGTGCTTGCTGCTGATACGTCGACGGATTATGGCGGTTGACGATAATGACCTGCGATCTGTCCATTAGATCAGTCGGAGCAGGTACGACCGAAAGTGAGCCTTCCTCGAGGAACGGTGAAAATTCGTTCGCTGATCGCAGTCCGTTCTCTTGCCAGTGCGACGGGATCGACTGCGAGACGACGAGCAATACCACACACAACGCTGTGAACAGAGCGATCAGAGCAGAAGAATAGAGAACCGCCCGAATCGGTGTGAGCCGTGTTGGTTCGACGGATTTTCCGGATGACGGATAAAGGCTGGAATTCAGAAAGAGAGATTTTAGAATATCGTCATCGATCACGGCATTACCATTCGTTCGGATAACGAGAGAATTTCCTCTCTCGTTCCGCTCGCGAGAGAATCGACAATTTCCCGGGTGGTTTTTGGGGGGAAAAAATTATTCTCGCTCACCTATCCTTCTTGACGGGCACCATTCCCTTGGTGATGGTATAAGGGGCTTTCGTGAGGTGATGGGTGTCGTTCTCCGTCGACTGGGTAACGTTGTGGTCCGAGCTCATCCTCGATGCGATCCTCGTCGAAGCTTCTGACGAAGTCTCCGACAGATCGAAGTAATGAATGCTGGAAACTCCGCCGCTGGATTGCTGAGTCGCGTGATAGGCGGGCGGGGGCAGATAGTTGAGGAACGTTGGATGCCCATTTGAACTCCCCATGCGGTTGGCGTTGTCTTGAGAGGCGTTCGTGAGGGAGTTCTGTGACTCGCTGAGCTTCGGGGACTCGACAGGTCTCCGGTACTTCTCGAGGTCGGGGCTGGGGTAGTACGCCGACAGAGGGACCGTTTCCAACGGCACTGAAGGCGCTCTCGTAGCGAGGGCAGTGTTCGGGGCTGAAGGTTGGCATGGGCACTGGAAAGCAGAAAGGTGTTTCCATTAGAAACGATGCAACGCCGTCGGTCTTGCAATTCGAGAATCCGCTGAAAGTCGATACGACTTGCTGACAGTTGCCTTTTGAGAAGACTTGAGCGAGAAATTTCTCACGCTCATCATGCGGAATTATCGACCGATAAGGAAAGTCTCAGTTCTAGTATTCCAAATCCGATTAGATGAATCAGCGAAAGCAGCGATGCTTCCGAAATGGTCGTATCGGATCGAGCCACATCGATGACGCGTCATGGAGCATTTTCGCAAGTCGTAAGAATTCGCCGCTCGTAAAAGGTGTGGAGCGATTGTTACGTCGACGTACACGTCGGATGCGAAGGCTCTCGATGCCGACATCGCGGGGAGTCTTTTCGCGTGGTGCACGAGATTTTTTTTCCTTTTTTGAGATTGCTACAGCGGGTTGAACTTTTCTCTGTCTGTCGTTTGTGAACGTATGCATTTGTGGGCGCGCACGCATTAGCACGGATTCTCGAAATGGCGGACGAAGGCGGTGGCCCGCTTTGGGTATCGTATTTTTTCTTCTCATCGTTCTCGCCGCCGTCGTCGACGACTACGACTCCCTCTTATTCATCTTCTGGTTAATGTGTCTTGCCGGCCTGCGGATAGCGGATGTAGAAAGTCCGTCAGCAGATGAATCAACCAGGCGAGCGACTGACTGAGCAAGCGAGCCAGCCAGCCAGCTAGCGAGCAGCGCACCAGAAAGCCGGACCTAAGCATGAGTACCGGAAAGGCGAAGCGGGTGGAGTCGTGGTGGACACGCATGGTTACCCGTCCGACACACAGCAGAGGGAGGATGCACGGACCGGGAGGCTCAAACTCGCGTAACTGTTGCTGGCAGACGGACGAACGGGCGGGCGGACGGACCGGCTGGCACGCCGGCCAGTGACATTCAATTTTTTGGCTCAAAAAAGCAAAGGTGTACACCGAGTGACTTTTGAATGAGTGACTCAACGTTATCGATCCACGAACGAGCTAGCGTTCGATAGGATCATGGAGCGAACGCTCGATGAGAAAGCCATGCGATTCTTATTCCTCGAACGCTTGATTGAAATGAGGTTACTCGGGACGCTACGAAGCCGTCCGTGAGAAACTGGACCCTAGCTGCAGAATCGTGAACAGACGGTAGCTACAGTTTGTTACGTCGACTACGACCCTTGCCGACATTTCAGTGTCGCTTGTAGTTCCATTCGCTCCTGAGACCTCTCGTTGACAACTCGCAAAATCGCAACTCGGAGTTCAAGCTCATTCTATACTATGTAGTGTGCGACGACGACCACCGGCACCAGAGCCGGTGGCGCCGATTTGAAGCATTGTGTTTAAGGATATCTCGATTTGGTGCTCGTATTTCCCAACCGAGCAGCTGTCATTGAGGGCGTCAGAAGTTCACTTGAGAAAAAGCATTTTTTACCGCTTAGGAAGTTCAAGTCGACGATCGTGATTACCGGGAGCCGCTCTAGGTGCTTTAGCGGTGAAAACATCGACAAATATTACAAGACGGTGCCTTTTCGCTCATGAGGCAAACGAGCTTGAAACGGGGGATTTAGGGAAAATAACAAGCCGATATCGGGGTGCACCCGGCGATTTCCTCCGAAAAAAAAACGACAAACGGAACCAGCTAGAACGAATGAATGAACAAGAAGACCTCACTGTGAACTTACTTGTAAACTATAACAGACATGATTCGGTCTCGACGAAGTCTGTCGACCCACAATGTATTGGGTCGATTTAGAAGCCGCTCTACTCGGAACAAAGAAGTCATCAAACGCATTTCCTTGTGCTTTCTCGAGGAGGTGCCCCATGGAGCTCCTTTGAGGAGCCGTCGTCGAACTTCTTCCATAGTTTCCCAGAGTTTGGCTTTTCATGGCGGTGGCTGCTGTCATGTGTGTCGTCGCGCTCAGAGACTTGTGACCAAAGAAATTTGCTGAAGTCTGCGATCGACCCACTACCCCGAAGTAAGTTCCGGGAGCGGTAGAACCGGCAGCCGCCGCCGCTGCTGCTGCTGCCGAGGAATGCACTGTGCTCATGGACGCCAGATTAGCACAATTCAAGGGCTGCTCGACGTCTCTTCTGTATTTCCTCGAGTAGGCGGACGCCGGCACCGAAAGCACGTCGTGCATACTGCTGTACGGAGGGACCCGTGGAAGCGATTCAGCGCATCGGGGTCGACCGTAATTGAAGTTTCCGAAATCCGAAGGCATGTTCCCTATGTCACGAGCTTGTGATCGGCACCGTATTCCACAGGTTATTCCAGCACTTGCACCGTGCGAAGCTCTCGAGCTTCAGCAGTGAGCACTCTCCATGAGACACTTGTGCTAGGAACGACCGACCGAGCGCTCGGTTGGTCCACGGAGTTCTCTAGCGAGGCGTTAACGACTGGGACTGGGGCTCGGGCCCGTGCTCGCTCCTTGTTCGAGCGACAGGCAACCGAGTACGAGGAGGAGGAGACGATCCCCCCGAGACGCAAAAACAAAGAAATTTCGCCTGCCGACAGACACGAGACACTGGACGAGGGACACGGACTGGCAGCAATCTACTAGAAGCTAGTGTGGCAGAGGATACCGTCAGGTCGCTTGCCAGACTCTCTATGCTCTGACGAGAGGCGAGGAGGGGGTTCAAGGCGGTGGCGACCCAGGGTGAGCGTTCACCGGATGCGGAGAGGGTCGAAGTTCAGAACAGAGCCCAAAGAGAATCTGCTGTTGACGCCGCCGCTACTGCTCTTGTTGAGGAGATCGAGAACACGAGGAGAAGTTGGCCGACCGCTTGATCGGGCCACGACAACATGGCAGACGCCAGCTGACACTATCGAGCAGGGGTAGCCGGCCGGCCGGCCGCCGACGACGACTATGATGTGCCTACAAACCAGGCTCGAGTTCTGTTCTCAGTTTTGAGAATGGAGCTCAGACACCGACTCTCAAGGCCGCTCTCAATGTAACCGAGTTCGAGCAGATCGATTCATCGCTGGGATCGGCGACGGAGCTCAGCGCACAACTGACTGAGTTACGCAACACGACTCGGGGGGAAACTTCTCGCTCGTCGGCTCACACCGAAAATAGCGTCACGGTAGCGGCGTGGGGTAACCGTGGTGGCGACGCGACGGCAGCGGCGGAGGAGGAGCTGCCGGGCCGACCACGTCGCCGCCGGCAGCGTCCCGACCGACCAGGATGCGCGAGGCTTCAAGCAATCGTCAACCCCAGACTCTACGGACGCGCAGTCGAAAATCTGCGGAGAGTCACGCACGACATGTCTACGTTACATCACGCAAAATGCAGAGATCCGTATGCGGACAGGATCCGAGTCGAGCTGCGTTTCGGGGGGTAATTCGGATCCTCCTCCTCCGCAGCGAGCTCGGCGACTGAGTATTCGAGCTGTCTCGAATTTTTTTTCCGGTGATTCCCCAATTCCAGGGTTAGCAGCCCAGAATTCGAAGGGGAATCAATGCAATGGTTGGGGTTCGTTGGGGAACATTCTGTCATTCGTACAAGACGCCTCATGAGGGGGCTGCCATCTTCTAGGTCATTGATAAATTATTTATCATTGTTTGATGACATCCAGCCCATGACCGATTGGGCGGAATCATTACGACGCAAGAATGTCGAGGTCTTTTTGTGCGGAGTATCCTACCAATCCACGATAACGAAGCCCGTTACTCGGTCGCGGAAACACGAACGGGAACGGCGAGCTTCGGGTTGGATGAACTTCGTAGCATTTGATTCCCACGTCCGACGAGGGTCTTGAGAAAATCTGCCTGCCTCGATGGCATGCTCGTTATCATACTTGATGCAAGGGAAAATAATTAAATAGAATGAAATTAACGACTCAAATCTTATGATTCTCCGTCGCTGTTTCGACGGACGCCTGCGTCACTATAGCGTATAAGTGCGGGTGGGCAGCTAGTGAGCGTGCGGGCGTTAGGAAGGGTGAACGAGCTGACGTTTACATAAATGAGCGCGCGAACGCCCCACCTTGAAACCAAAAAATTACCGGGAACTTCTCGCCCCAGGAGGAAAATAGATGAATAAAAACACTTACTTAGACAATACGCGGCTCCCAGCTCTCTTGATGAAGCGGTTCGCCCGCTTCGTTTATTTTATGAGCATCTTATCGCTCGCTCGCACCGCAGGTGAAATGTATCGAGCTCTGTTTCCAGCTTTGTCTTGCGATCCGGCACCCTTCCGAATGCTTTGCCTCGACAAGTGGTCGGACGCAGCGGTGGCAAAGAGCCTCTTCTCCTCCTGCTCCCAAGATCAAGCCAGGCGGCAGAGCGGCATTTTTCGGAGAACTAATGGCATACGAGCGTTGTTTCTCGTTCCTTACGATTTGCGTTTTGCTGGGAACGAATTCGATCGGGTTTTCCATGCTTCATTAACGAGGAGCGACCTGCCTCTCGCTCCACGTCCGACTGTGAAAACAATTCACACGGAATGAATCAGTTTTCAGCGGGATAAATTACGCTCCGCGTAGATCCATCAAACGAAATGAGCGAGTCGGCCGGCCGGCTTGCTCGTTGCAGTTTTCCCCAGGTCGGGATAGCCGCTGCATCGAGTCAAACCTGACGTCCTGATTGTTCGTTCACACTGCAAGCCGCTGTCGCTGTTGTAACTACCGTTCAACGGCGGCGTCAGTTAAGAGACAGTCGCGCCGCAGCGAGCTGAACGAGGAAAAGACGTACCCAACGACCGACTCCGGTCGGCGGACCCACCGACCGGCCGACGAAACGTCGGACGGCCAAACTGAATGAATGAGTGAATGACTGAATTTTCTGCTGACCGAACAGCTGAACCCTGTCTGTCCCAGATCCAGCGGAGGCGAGAGAGAATTCTTCGCTTGAACTACTATTTCTTCTTGTGCTGTCGTCGTCGTCGTCGCCGCCAACACCACCACGGCTGGTGCTGTTTGAGCAAGCTCGACTGCTTGCCGGTCACTGTTCGGGCTGGTTGGAACAGGCCATAGCAAGTAGGATCTTGAGGAGGCGAAGGAAGAGAAGCAGTAGTTTGACTGAGTACGGCGGTGGCGGCGGCGGAGACGACGACGACGACAACAAGAGAAACCAGAATGGAATGTGGCGTTGGTGGCGGCGGTCGTCTTCGTCGTCGTCGACGACTATCGGTCGGTCGAGGCTTCTGTGAACCAGAGGACCTACGAGGCGCCGGCTGCTTTTGCTCCTGCTGCTGAATCCGAATCTCAAACGGGGGCGCTCGCTCTGCCTTTTACTGGGTAGCTCGGTTGGTTGGCAGGCAGGCTGCTTGCTTGTTTGGATGCCTGCCTCCTATACTCGTTCGTTTGTTCGTTCGCTCCTCCGGCGGTCTGTCTGTCCGACCGTTCATCCGTCTATCTTGGTGTGGATCGTTCTCTGAATGGGCAGGAAGTAGCCCCACTCCCCTCCCCCCGGCCTTTTGGTCCGTCTGTCTGTCCGGGCCACCGACTCCAAGTTCCCAACTCCATTCAAGGTGATGCTAACAGCCAAACGAGAGGCCGATCGCAGAGTCCACAGAAACAAAGAGAGGCTCCTGAGAACTCTCCGAGCAGGTTGCTGCTGCTGCTGCTGCCGTAGACGGCCACCACTGCCACCAATGATGGGGATGCCACTACGCCACCGACACTCACTCACTCAGTCACCAGCACAAACAATCGGTCCGCAACGTATTGACTCTATTTAAGAACTACTGAGTACCTTTTAAATCAGCCGGTCCGAGTTCGCTCCGCTGTCCTGGATCCGTACCAAGCTCGAGCTCGTCATTTGCGAGGATCTTCTTTCCGTGCGAGTTGCGCGCGGAGACTCGAGGACGCGAGTTCGGACATTGTTGTCGGAGATCTAGGCACTCGGAGAGCGCGCGTAGAGAGCGTCGGAATGCGGGAGTAACAATTGATTTCTTCTTCGAGCGGAGCTGGTTTTGTGTGGTTCCTCGTGGTGTGTTATGGCTTCCAGAGGCCTACTTTACTCGTCCGATCGCTACGCTAAACATTAACCGCTTCTGCGGCAGCATCAGCATGTAGCAGCCAAACGGAGCTTGTCGAACAAGTAGCCAGTCAAGCAAGCGACCGACCCACCGACCAAGCAACCAACCAACCAGCCAGTCAGTCAGCCAGCTCGAACATGCTCCGCGTAGACGTAGACCAAAACGAAAAAACAGCGGATATGTTAAACAACATGCTCTGTTTCTCTCATTTGCCTTAAGAGATCCTCGCCGATAAGCTAAACGTTCCCTCTACCTATTCAGTTCCGATAGCGGAGGATCCGAACCGCAAGCGAGAGGGGAACGTTCCACACAGCTCAATCAGAATTCCCTGAAGAAGGTCCACTGACTGAAGCCTTTCAGTTTTGTTCATTTCATTGTCTTGCTCTTTGGTTCTATTACCGAAAGCGACTGAATGAGGCTGTCCGGACCACCATGTGGCCACGAGGAGCTCTCGCGTGTGTTGAAATGTTTTGATTTTCAAGAACCGCTCGTTTATCCAAGAATCAGCGCGCGCCAGTCAAGAGATTACACAAACTTCATTGTTGCATCCATTAGAGAAAATCAAAAGTCGTCTTCGCACTCGCATGTCGTCTGGCCCTTTCATGGACTTTTCTGCCAGATTCACTCGAGGCGATGATTTTTCCTCAAGTCAGCGGATCCTCACGACAGCGCGCACTTTCCGAATCTTCCCCTCCGAGAGTCCGATTCGTTTAATCGGCAATTTATGATCATGGTTCGGGCAGTTGTCAGATGGTGTTGACGGGATGGAGGGAGAAGCTACTTAGGAGGGCACTGTCGTCGTTGAAAAGTGGATTGATGAAAAGCCGAAAAAAAATAGTCCATCAGCATCGTTTTCGTCGTCATGGAAGATGTTGTTCCTGTCGTCGGATAGAGTCATCGGAAGAAGAGAAGAGGCCCCCACACTAAAAGCATTTGCTCAAAACTGCCGTCGATCGTTTGTCGTTCGCCGTTTGTCAGGTGAAGGGGCAACTGCGCGGCGTCGGCCAACCACCACCGCAAATACTACGTAAAAGACGACAATGAATGCTACAAGTAAATGTCTTAACAAGCAGCTTCGCTCCGTTCTCCTGCTCATTCATCGGATGCCGGGTCGCTCACACGAACTTGTCGTTAGCGTTCCGGAGTATCCGTCCCCGCGAGCCTGAAGCGTCGAGGAGGGAATTTCCTTCCGCAAAAACTAAAATCGTCCAGAACCCTCACGGTACTGTAATGCGATCAGACGAGTGCGCTGCTGGTCCACACATGGCTGACCGTCTCTCATCATTAAAACCTCTTAGTTCTCATTGTCGTTTGCAGCTGCTGATGGAGTAATGATAATAATAACAACACCGGCGCGGCGGTGGCGTCGACGACGGGAACGTCGGGTCAGGAGACACGAACCAGGGAAGGAGAGACTAAAATCGGAATTCGCCGACCGTCGATGTCAGTAACTACTCCCACCGTCTAACAAGTTGTTCACACAGCTAAAAACGTGATTTCTGATCGAGAATACAAAAAAAACTCCTCGCTTCTTGTCTGCCGCCGTCGGTGTAGTTTCCGATGTAATTTCGAATTCCCAAACTCCATCCGAGCAGCTCGCTCTGCGTGGCGGCTCGGATGTCCCTGCAAGGGAGTGTTTCCCGATCGTTCTCCGTCAATCCATCATGCTTCCTCGCATCCATCCGTTCGTCCATCAATCTATTCACACAGCAGACTATATTTCCGCATAGTTCCCGGGGGATTCTCAGCATTTGCCTCAGCCTTGAGAATTATTCCGAGTGCTGCGTGAAACAACAACATTCGGTTTCCCTCGATTCAGTCGGGAAGGTGGTGCGGCGAGCGTGGAGAGAAAAAAAAAGAATCAGTCGCAAGTAATATAAGCACCAATCGCGCCATCCGGAAATGTTAACAAAGTTAGAGAATACGCAGCCATCTAAGTGGCGAACAAAATTCGCAATGACCATGTGAGACTCCAAACTACGCATGAAAATTCGTTCGGAGAGCTAATTCTGGGAAAGATCCAAAACGGAAAAGAAAATTTTCCCCCAGAATTAAGACCAGCGACTGGAGTCATTCTTCAATTTCACTCCTTCATCCAAAAACGTGCACTTCGTCTCGCCGAAAACCCACTGATTGAGAAGCTTTCGGAATCCGTCTTCGAACTGTGTCACCATTCATGGGTCCGCCGTTATGTCTGACGAAGGTCTCGTTAGTTCGAGCTTCTGCTCCGATGGTGGAAGCGCTCGCCCGATAATCAGAACGCTTGTATAATTCATTCACGAAGAGGAAGAATGCGTTCCCAGCCATTCGGTCGTCGCACCGAGTCAGTGAGTAGGTGCCGTGCCGGTGTGGGAGGTGGAGTACCACGGCTTATGGTGCTGATGGCGGCGGCGACTGCCCAGATCGTCGTGGAATCCGCTAGCAACGAAAGATGACAATCGTTTTTTCGGGACATATCTCAGTCAGATCACCACACACCGAAAATGAGACGGCGGCGGTTCTTAGGGATCCTCGAGAGAGCTCTCACCGCCTCAAAACGATTGCTGTCACCATCGAATCAGTGATAATCACATCGATTGAAATCTACCTAATAAATATGTAGAGTGGGGCGTTTCGAGACTAGTCCGGACTTCCGAAAGTCCCGAGATAAAATTAAAGGGACCGAACAGCCGCATACCAAAAAGCTACCGTGGGTTTGCACAGCAGATGCCGTGAGCTCCGATCCAGAAAATCACGACATTGCCAGGGGACTGTTACAAAAACGTCAAACGACGGAGGATTTGAGTCGTCGACGGAACCCCGCTTTCGATCCGGATTTCTGATGAATGACTCGACGTTCTGTCAAATAGGCCCGTGAACATGTGTGTCTGCGCGCGTAAATGTCAATGGATACGAGTGAATCGAGGTATTATCGAATGACGTTCATTCATATACTACAATGATTTCTGGCGGAACTAATCCACAAGTCTTCGATTTGTCGAAGCTGGCGCGATCATGAATGAGTTTTTCACATAGTTGTGTCGAATTACGCACAAGGACTCCGATCCGGGGATTCCCCCGTATGACTCGTTCATCGAAAACTCTAGAAACTCACCTTGTTCGCTCTCTGCGGGGGCAGCTGATACTGCGCCATGACGAGTCGTTTACTCGTCGGGGGTGGCCCTTGATACTGCGAGTAATCCATTTTTGAGCTATCGTCCTCGTCGATTTTCATTTTATCGGAACTGACAACTTCAGGCAGGTGCCGCTCGTGGTCGACTTCGTTTTAGAGTAGCCCGCTCTCATTTGAGTAATCCATGCTCTGGTTCACGACGAGCGAGCGGACAGAATGAAAATAATTGAGCAGTGTCCTTCGATCGAGTCCAACGCCAAGGTGCACTAACGGTACAGCCGAGCACGAGAAATTCCAGTTCGAGACGGAACACGGAGAGTTCGGCAGAGAGTCTTCTCTGGAGATACTTTCGGCACACCGTAGGACGCACGTTCGCTTGCTTACCACTCGGTGGGCAACACAACACTAGTTCCTGCGAGCCTGTGTTTCCCTCGGCGAAGTGACGGTCGCTCTGCGGAACAACCAGCCGACGAGTGAGTGAGGTAGTGAGCACTGTTAAGCCAACGCAACTTGTTACTATGGCAGCAGGTTGGTGTCGTTTGTTGCTTCAAGTTCTGCCGTCCGCCGGACGACGACTGCCTGAATGACTGAATGAGGCCCTCTCCCCCACCCGGCGGCAACACACACGCCGCGCCGTTCAGCAGAGCACCGAACCGAAGCGAGCCGAAGCAAGCAGCCAGCCAAGGCAAGCAGTCATCAATTCCGTCGTAACGATAGATGGCGCTGTCGTTGCGGTGGCGGCGGCGGTAGTTCACTTCTGTGAAACAGCGCGGTGGCGGTGTTGGCGGTGGCGGCGGCGGCGATACGGGACCGCTTCGGAGCAGCCACGGCACGCTATGGGCAACGGACGCTCGTAGCGCTACCTGGCGCACAGAAAAATACATAAAACTATCTCCAACATTGTCCCTCAACAACTGCCGCCACCGCAGCAGCGGATGCCGACGTCGGCGGCAGCAGCAGCAGCGAAGCGGATACGCGCAGCATACGTCGACCAACTGTGGGCCCACTGCCCGGCAAGGTTCAGGCTACGCCCGCTCAGCTTCGGGAGAGGTGACGCGCAATCAGAGCGCCGTCAATAATTCCTTCCCGGACGTATACTCGCGTCGATCCGTTATCTGAGGGTTCTGCTCTCAGAGATTACGGTGAAGATGACGACGGCCATCGAAACGGCGGCCCCGGCCGCTGAAACCATTATTATCATCGATGCGAGAGCGACCCGGTGCGAAAACACCATCAGTGGCTCCGGTGGGAGCAAACGATGTCAATGACGACGCTTGTCGTCGCCGTCAAAAGCGTTGACGTCTCGTTAGACGTCGTTCTATTCATGCATGTGTTCATTCAGAAGGTCCCTCGACTTTAATTGTCGCGAAATAAATCTGATGAACGGCTGATTCTTGTTGGACTGACTCGACATGACAACGCGTTTTCGAATGCGCGGACTCCATTTCCAGAAACCCAATTGCTCCAACACCGCTCTCAATAATTAGCTTTCGGGACGGGGTCCGCCTGGCGCTCGAGCCCCCTCGCTAACGCTTCACCTTTTAGAAAAGACCCGGTTTGTACCTCCGCGTCAACGACAAGGCTCGCGAGGAGCGGCGACGCTTCTCTCAGCTGCTGCTGCTGCCGCGGCTTAGTTAAGGCAGCAGCGGGAGGAGAAAAGCTGAAGCAGAAAAAGCAGAAGAAACGTAGAAGAGTGAGAACACGAGGGGGCGAACGAGCAGCAAACATTCCTCGAATGCCTTGTGGCGGAGGCGGACCGGAACGCTCTACGCCGCCGCTGCTGCTGCCGCCGGAGATGCTGTGGCGGCGGCGGCGGCTACGACCACCATCGCCAACACTGCCGTACGAACACTGTTTGGAGAAACGAGCAGCTAAGGTAACAACGCAACAAGACTGTGTGAACAACGCCGAGCAACGAGAATCGGATCAAGATCGAGCTATGATTCAGCGTCCAGACTCCAACGACGAACAGCGATATGTTACGGTGACAAGATCCGGTCGCAAGAAGCATCTACCTACCTACCGCCGTCAAGAGTACTTCCTCCCCGTCGGAAGAGATTCTTCTGCGACTTTCGGACGGACGCTTTTGGATGGAACCAGATGAAATGAATTCCTCAAATCTCGGCTTGGCGCAATAACTCAGAAAACGTCGCTTTATTCCTTTTTCTCGATTCGTTCCTCGTTTCATATTTCTATACGTTTCGCTATGTCTCACAGTCTGATTCGGACCGCGATGCCGTGATTGATATTTGAACCTAGCGAAGTAGACCATCCGTTTGGGGCCACACGAGCATTCCGGGTAGCATTCACACATTTTCGCTTCATAAACGGAGGACTCCCCGGTCGCCGGAGTCACCGGGTCATCAGAATTATCCGCCATGATCGGACGCAATTCCGCCGTCGAACCTCAAACAACCGAGGCTTTCCATCCATTCCGCTCGGAGAATCCATCGCAGCCAGTCGAGACTTCTAGAAATTCTCCTCAAACCCCGGACTCGATCTCGCACCTCGGTGACTCCGGTTGAGTAAGACCAGGTGTCGATGTGCGTTCTTCGTCCAATCGCTCTCCGATTCCCTTTCGTTGCTCATCGCGGGCGATCGATGAAAGCGAGGATGACACACAGCAATGCTCGATGAAAGCGGAGATACAGGAAGCATTCCTGTCAGCGCTCGACGACAATGCGGTGCCAGCGGCGCCATTTTCGGCCTCCGCTTCGGTCCGTGGTAAGATCCTCGACTCTGGACCTCGATCTCTGGTCTTTCATCTCAACCAACTTTCGAGTACGCAGCGCGAATCATCCGCGCCAGCGGTGTCCGAACCTCCCCCCGACGGGACGGTGGGAAAAAGAGAAGTCCGCCGTTGGCTATCGCGAGTCGTCCCGCATCCCAGTCTGATTGTGAGTGATAAGTCTTGTGCGTGACGCAGATATTTCATCACTGAATAAAAAAACAACTCAGAAAGGAGGACTCGCTGAGATTTTTGCAAGTCAGGTTCGGCTCTAATTATAAGAGTTGTTCGAGCGGTACGACGCGCGCCGACCGAAGCATTAACAGGTCAACGAGTGATGAATCCGGCCGGATCACGATTTTCGACTGAAGGCTCCTCGCATCCTCGTCTCGCTGTCTTCTACCCAAGCGAGCTCGATGTGTTATTTAAGGATGATACTCCCACTGCCGCCACCGCCGCAAGAACGTCAGAAATTAATTCTGACTGAGGAACTGCTTTGCCCAACCCGCCTCTTTTACCCATCCGGTGTGTTTTTTTCTTCTTTCGCTCTTACTTCCTGCCTCCCTTCCTTTTTCTGCGTCCGTACCTCCGGGTTCGTTCCTGTGTACACCCATACAAGATACGCCGTGTACAACTTGATCAGCACGATGCTCACCGACTTGCCAATTAAACATCCATTCAGCTTACCTCTCGAAAAGAGAGTTCTTCGAATACCAACGCCGCCGGCCGCCCGCGTAGCTCCAATGCCGATAGCGAAGCGGCTCTGGGCAAGTCGGAAGGACCCGGTTAGGAATCTACATTCGCTTCGTTACAAAGCCGCAACTGGGATCCCCGGATCGGAAGTTGATTACAGGGTTAATGCAGTGTGAGAAGGGTTCACTTCCTCTCTCTGAGCAGACAACAAAAACACTCTCCGCTCGGGCCAGGCGTCGTCCCATCGTCGTCGGAGCGGCCTATACGACATGGTATATGTACGTAATAATTTCAATTGAGTTCGCTCCTAAGCGTCAGCCTTCTCTTACGGTCTCGGAGGCGGGAATTTTTCCGGAATCGCACGAGAACGCCGCAAAATCGCTTATCTCCCTGCTTGACCGATCGACCGACCGGCTGATTTGGCGACCGACCGACGGAAAGACGAACAAATGGGATGGACTGACTGACCGACCGACTGGTTGGTTGGGCGAGCAGCTACAAGGCACCGACGAACGAAGATCACCAGAATCAAAAAGCGAAGCAGAAGCTCTAAACGAGAAGGAGAATTCCTCAGGAGGCCCAGTCAAGCAAGAACGAGCAAGAAGGCAGGCCCGACCGGCAAGCAGGCAGGCGGGCGGACAGGCAAGCCGGCAGGCAGGCAGGCAGACAAATTAAGCAAGCAAGCATGAACCAACGGGGCGAACGAACGACCGAGCGAGCAATCGAGCGAGAATCGCCGATTGCCTCCCCCGCACGAGCCAACAATGATGACAACAAGACCAAAAATGCGATTCACAAACACTTCTCCCGTATTGAAAGTAATATATTTAAACTTTCGCGGCGCCATTTGAAGAAAAGACTCCCCGTTTGTTTGCGAACCTCCGGCGAGTCTCCGACCCGGAATCCGGCCTCGGGGCTCGAAAGAAAGGCGAAGGGCTCAACCGAGACCGGATCGGTGCGCTGTTTGGATGGGAACACCCGTGCGAGCCGAAGAAAAAAGAAATTCCTCCGGGATACGAATCCCGTATGCGCCCAATGCCGTCCTCAGGCAGCTCTCGGAGCTTCGTCTGAGCGATCGGCGTTCCTCAATGAATTGATGAGGACTCGCACGGTGTCGGATGTATACGAGTCTCTTGGATTGAAGACGTCTTCCGCCATAGATCAGGCGCCGGCGTTTCCTCCTGAAAATTCACGCTACGCGCGTTGGCGGAGCTTCGTTCCCCGAGTTCAGTAAGTCACTCGGTCTTCTTTGCATCCCGGAGTCAGTTCAACGCCTCTTCCTGACGTTGGACGTCGGACAGACTCAATCTCGATCGGTCGCTCTTCGCGACTAAAGGTTAGATTTATCGTCGGGAGAATGTTAATGCGACCCATTGCGATACAACACTTTCTGAGACAAAACAGAACTCTGACGTCTGCATCTTTTCTCGATGTCGCTTGGACTGAAGAGCCGTCCCGACGTCGTCGTTCCATAAATCTACCGATCCGTATAAACTTTAAATTTGTTTGCATCCAATCCTTTCTCCGACACGGCCACGAGACTCTGATGCGTATGTAGTCAGAACTGGAGGTCTGACGGGCTAGTCAAAGGTGTTGAGTCGAGTGATTCTGAGCCGAGCACCTTTTTTTTCTTCCCAGAATCCCCTCTTCGTTTCTCATGAAGACATGCCTCACGTTGGGA